TTTGGGATGGGGAGCCCACATAGACGGAAAGTTATTATCAGGAACATGGTCGCCCCAACAAACAAAATGGCACAGCAACAAAAAAGAGCTGTACGCTGTTTTGGCTGCAATCAAAGAAAATGCAAAGTTGTTGCAAAGAACTCACGTACTTGTCCTTTCGGACAACAGGACCTTGATTGCTTATATTCGGAAGGAAGGGGGGACCAGATCGTTAGCTTTACTAAACCTAACCTTCGAGCTCTTACACCTAATCGACAAGTTCAAGATAACCCTATCCGCACAGTACGTACCAGGGAGGTACAACATAATAGCAGACAGACTATCTCGCGGGAAACATCCAGCAGAATGGCATCTTCTACCCCGAGCAACTGCGGAAGTTTTTCGGAGGTGGGGCCGACCGGAGATCGACCTATTTGCGTCACGAGAAACTGCTGTAGTACAAAATTATGTATCGCTAGACTGCAGAGATCAATCGGCAAGTTATATAGATGCCTTCAGCAGAACATGGTGTTATCGACGGGCTTGGGTGTTCCCCCCACCGACCTTACTACCAAAAGTCCTAGCCCATCTCAACCAGGCCACGGGGATTTACCTGATTGTGGCACCAGAGTGGCCCCGGGCGTTCTGGCTTCAAGATCTGAAATCGAGAGCTTTGGACCATCCACTGGTGCTTCAGAATCTAGCAGAGAACATGATAGATTTCGCGACATTACAGCCTCCCCCACAGGCTCAGACATTAACCCTGAAAGTTTGGAAAATTGGGGGTGGGGTGCACACATAAAGGAATGGTCGCTACAAGAAAAAGACCTTTTGAAGAAAAGCTGGAGACCCTCTACACTGTCCACATACATTCCAGCGCTTAAAAGATGGCTTTCATGGTGTTCTACGCGACAAGTAGACCCAAAATCTCCACAATCAGCTGATGTTGCAAAATTTTTAATGTATCTCTTCTTAAAAGAAAACTTATCCTACAGCACGATTCTTGTACACAAATCAGCAGTTTTAACCTTCTGTGGACCTCACGTAGAGCAACAACCTTTATCCAATTTCATTATAAAACATACCCTTAAAGCAATAGGAGTAGCTAAACCTAAAGTTACTAAACCATCGTCTACATGGGATCCACAAATAGTATTGGACTGGCTTTCAATTAATCCGCCTAAAGACAATTTATTTGATTTAGCTCGCAAAACGGCTACTGTTTTATTATTAGCTTCGGGACGCAGAGTCCATGATTTAACTTTACTTAAAATTTCAAATGATCATTTCTTTGATAATGGTGAAGAACTGTATTTAATACCAGCTTTTGGTTCTAAAACTGATACACATAATTATCGTCAATCTGCATGGAAGTTTTCTAAACATCGTGATAAAAACATATGCCCGGTCACTTTGATTAGACTTTTAAACGACAAAAATAAAACAAGACGGTTGGAAGTTGATGGCTTAAATTGTCTGTTTATTACTGTAAACAAAAATATTAAAGCAGCGTCCCGCACTGTGATAGGGAACTGGATACGATCAGTGTTGAGAGATAGTGGGATTCAGGCACCCCCAGGAAGCTGTAGATCGGCTGTGGCTTCCCTGGGGTGGTCAGATAATCAACCAATAGATGAGATTTTGTCACGGGGTAATTGGAAATCTTCTAATACATTTTTTAATCATTACTGTCGTGAGATAGCACTTCCAAAAAATAATCGTAATTCATTCTTTGGTACTTTTAAACCAGCATAATCTAACGATTACAGAGTTAATTTTTCAATAAATCACTTATTATTAATTTATTAATAGTTAGTATAATTATGTCTCATATTGTATTTGATTGTAGGCTAGTGTTAAATTAATGAATAAATAGCTTATTTTCATAAAACATTTTACTTATTTACTGAATAATCAATCAAAATAGCGTTGTGTTACATGCACATACATTTCACCAGCAGATAACAAACACGTCTTCAAAGCAATGCTGTATGTTTTCCGGAGGCACATCAATATACCGGTTTTGCATAAAACAAAACCGATATTATGTGCCGAGAGGGAAAACATACAGCATTGCCGGAAGTTCTTCCTGGTGAAGACTATGACATTCGAAGTCTAACGCTCCGGCGCGTCTTGCTGGTGCACCCTAACGCCATCTAGTTACTTTTAGGTGAAAACTACGTGTTTACTAACGTCGATCATAGATGGAGCTGAAAGTATACGACTGCTTCTTCAAAGCAATGCTGTATGTTTTCCCTCTCGGCACATAATATCGGTTTTGTTTTATGCAAAACCGGTATATTATTTAATCCGGATTTCTAACTATACATCTTCAATAATTCAAAGCAATCGGTTTAGTAGTTATGGCGTAAAGCGGAACAAACAAACAAAAAAACAAACTCACTTTCCGATTTATAATAGTAAGGAAGTACGGATATCTGCCGCTTGTAATGTCGACCGATTTAGGTAATAATAGTGAACACCAATTTTTGATGCTGACCCTATCTACATGAAAATAATATACTTTAAATTCGAGTTGATTTTAATTTTAATGATGTTTTTACATATCATATACAGACTCTGTGCTAATAAGAATTTTGTAATCCATTATTTAATATTCATAATTATGATTAATTTACTAAATAACATTGCTTAATCCTTGTAAGTTAATCAAAAATTACTTTTAATAGATCAAACAATAACTTAAGTACAAAATAAGAAAATAAATTAATATTTATCAAAAAAGTTAATTTAAATTTTATAAGAAATATTCACAAATACAAAAAAATGTAATTAAACATATTAAAAATAATTAAGGTAATACAATATTGGCTCTTGTTAGTAATTTAAAGTTTGCATGTGATGTGTAAAACAATTAAATATTATTATTACTCTCGTAACAGTTTGACGAGGAACTGGACTAGTTTCAAGCCATGCTAGAGGTTCATATTCATGAGCAGCATTCCTCGACATATGACGTTGACATATGAGGTATACTGTTAATGGCTTGAAACTAGTCGAGTTCCTCGTCAAATAATTACGTGAGTAAGCCGAAAACATAATAATTAATTTGTATATCTCACGAATCTTATGAATTAAGTTTTACAACAAACTTCAATTTGTTACATTTCATACATAAGCTCATACCTTTGTCCTACCCTTTTTTTTAAGGGGGGAAAATCATCGAATGACTGCTCCCGCCTGGGTGAGGCGGGAGGGAGTGTCAGACTCTTACTGACTAAAAACCACCCCGTTCCTCCTCCTGCACGTCGAGTCGGAGCCCCGGTTACCCGTTAGGTTCTCCGCGACTTTTTCCTACCCTACGGTATACAGAAACTAGTGTCACATAGTACATAGTTTACAGCAACCGCTGTTACTTTACACATCTTACGATTTCAAATAACTGCCAATTTCAATTATTCTATCTCAAGCGTATATCTGTGGATTCAGATTGATTTTTGATATAAACTTTAAACAGGTAATGTCAAAAATCAATCTTCAGTTATTCCAAATTACACAATATGTGCACATTACGGCACTTAATGCCACTGTACAATGTAACACCCACTTTTCACTATTTATGTTATGAGTTCCATGTAATAAGGGGGATATTTTAAAATTGTTATTTCAGACTGCCTCGTTGGCCGAGTGGTCGCAAGTGCAATTGCCGGGCAAGGGGTCTCGGGTTCGATTCCCGGGTCGGGCAAAGTATTAAGTACTGGGTTTTTAAAAAAATTCTCAGTAGTAGCACGGAGTCTGGAATTGTGCCCGGTATATGACAATAGTCTCACCACCTATAACATGGGACTCATAACATGTATAGTGAAAAGTGAGTTTTATATTGTAGTAGCATTATGTGCACCTCTGCCTACCCCTACGGGGGTAAAAGGCGTGGTGTTATGTTATGTTGGTATTACAACTTTTGCAGGTATAATATTAATATTGCTTTTTAAAAAGGCACTGATTGATCAGTTTTCAGTGTACTAACTAGATCCTTTTCACATAGCTATTAAGAACTGCAATTTACAAAGAAATTTGTCTTAAGCGGTGGAATTATTGAGACATTCTTCTCCCAGATACGGTTTTTTTAACCTATTGAAAATCATCCCCTAAATTTGTTCATATAAAAGTAGTCTCTAAACATTGGACATAAGGTCTATAATGTAGTTAGTGGAGAGTGGTCATCGGTGCCCGCTCTCCTCTAATTCTATCTCTACATATGAAGTCAAAGTAGCGTTTTATAAATTAAATAGCTTCTGCCAGTAGCTTCTACCGCATTCCCGTGGGATGAGAAGTAGCTTATTTTATTCTAGACCATAATATACCCCTGTTCCAAATATCATCACGGTCCCTTCTGCCGTTTTGATGTGAACGAGTAACAAAGAAACATAAAACCTTTCATATATATATATATAATATTAGTAGGATACTTTTTTTTTAAGCGGGGAAAATCATCGAATGACTGCTCCCGCCTGGGTGAGGCGGGAGGGAGTGTCAGACTCTTACTGACTAAAAACCACCCCGTTCCTTCTCCTGCACGTCGAGCCGGAGCCCCGGTTACCCGTTAGGTTCTCCGCGACATTAGTAGGATACTAGGTTTTACATACAACATGATTTCTTTTATGAAAGTTATTTACAATAATATTATACTTGATTGAAGGATTTTCAACCTTATAACATCACACTTTCAAGTCACTAACACAGGCAGAACTTGTAGTATAATTGTATTATTTTGTGAGTCATAAGGTTTATTGTAGGATAAATTTCTTTCTTATATTGAAAACTTTAATACTTCTTTGTTTCTCAGGATCATTACGAGTCAGTGACAGTCCACTAAGGGGGTGTGACATAATCACTTAGCTTGTCAAGCAAGTTGGAGATTAACTCGTCGAATATCGTCATTATAGACACAATTATACAACAATAGGTTGCGGTCACCGGTGTAAAAAAATAATTTAAAAAAGTTGCAGTTATTGTTATATTAAACTGTCAAACACCAAGCGGTCACCGGTGACCGCAACCTATTGTTCTATAATTGTGTCTACAAAACCGGTACTCGACGAGTTAATAAGGTTGAAAATCCCTGTTTCATTATTGGTATAATCTTAACAATGTACCACTATAAAGAAAATTATCTAGTGTATACTGCCTATAATTAAAAAAAAATTTAAAGTACCAAAAATTTCCTAAAAAATCATAACAGTTTATGAATTCGAGCTAAATGACTCCGCAGCGACTCCTCAGCTTTAAACTTTAAAGAGCATAGATCACATTGAAACGTAACATTTTTAAAAGTATGTTTATTTTGGACATGCTTAGCTAAACCTTCTTTGCTAGTAAACTTTTTTTGACATTTAAAACACGAATTTTCTTGTAGTATCTGTTTCAATTTAAGATGTCGGCGTAAACAGTACCTGGACTTGAAAGTTATCGCGCAGCTTTCGCATTTCGACTTGCTTTTGATCTGGTGATGCGTCTGACAATGGAGATCCAAATTGCTTTTCTTATTAAATATTATCTGACAGTCATTGCACTCAAAAGTAGCTGCCTTTTGCTGAATCTCGTGGTTTGAAGTCATGTGGCGGAAATATTGAGAGTTCTGTGTGAATTTCAAGCGGCAATATTGGCAAGAGTAGATGTATTTTCGATCATCAAAAACTCCGACTGGGTCATCAGCTTTTCTTGATTTTAAAGCAGGTCTGGTTATCCTGATCCTAGGGCCGGTTCTCACTAGTTTCTTATTCATCACTAAGCCGATATTTAACAAGCTTTCATAATATTTAAGATGACTTTTAATAGAATTTGCTAAAATCAACACGTAGGCAGTCACTTGTTTCAGCGTTTACTATCTCACACTGCAGTTGTTATTACACTAGTTTTAGGTATTATATACCTTACTTTATAATTTCAGTTATAAATTACGCAACACTAATAAATAATTGAGTATTTTTATGTATTATTTTTGCTAAATTCGATGTAACCACAATTTCGTACGTCAAAACGTAAGTTTGGTGTGCGTTTTGAAACTTTATCTTGAACGACTTTCACTTTGTTGTGAATGAAAAGGTTATAAAAATAAAAATATTTTTTTTTATATAACTAATACGAAACCTTAGTTACATTACAATAATTGTTTTAACTATTAAAGGAGAACAAAATGAATATATTTATTCAAAACAAAAGTCATTAAATAAAGAATCAATTAAGGAATTTGAAATATCAACTTTTCGAATGCACAAAATTCTCTCAAGTCATGTGAGCAAAACAAAATATTTTAATTGTAATGTTTGATAAATAAATTGTAAATTACATTCATTATGTACTTTATATTAATGGAATTATATAGACTGAACTAAACCAATGGATGCAAATCTTACGAAAATACGCGCGAAATTTTAATTAGGTATTATGAATATTTTTTCAGTTAGATCTAACAAAATAGGTAGGTAGGTACTTAGGTACTTTAATACTTTAACTGAAATTAAAAATAATTACCTATGTATAAGCATACCCTGATGAAAAGAAATTATCTTCGTAACCGACTTCAATTCGGCTGTATATACATATTCGGCTGTATATGGAACATATTTTGTCAAAAAAAAATTATTATTAAAAAAACAAAATACCCGACTGCACACTAAAAAAAGAGTAAAACAAGCCCCACAATAATATTGATCAATCAAATGCTAAAAACTAATTATGTAATACCGTTTAAACAATACCTATATTAAAATACACTACAATATGTGTTCGTAATCGATAGTTAAATAAACAGAAACTTATTTTGAATACAAATTTACTGAATATAATTTATAAATGTTGATGGAAAGCATCGCAGGCGGGGACCACCTTGACCGCCACCAACGAAAATTCTGCTAAATGGTGCACAACCGAAATGACTATAAATAAGCCTCTGTTGGTCCCCGCCTGCGATGCATTCCATCAACATTTATAAATTATATTCAGTAAATTTGTATTCAAAATAAGTTTCTGTTTATTTAACTATCGATTACGAACACATATTGTAGTGTATTTTAATATAGGTATTGTTTAAACGGTATTACATAATTAGTTTTTAGCATTTGATTGATCAATATTATTGTGGGGCTTGTTTTACTCTTTTTTTAGTGTGCAGTCGGGTATTTTGTTTTTTTAATAATAATTTTTTTATTTATAACTTTTTAGCTGTTTTTATTTCGATATATACAAATAGGGATATATCGAATAAAATCGCTATTTAGAGACGACCGTCAACGACGTGTGCCCTCATGCGTGTGCCCGCAATCGGGCTGTATACTCGAGCATATCCCCCTCCGCACCGCGCCGCGCGCCGCATGCCAGGCCACGCCCTATCTTTTTGCTTGCTAACGCATGAGTTGCTTTGCGTTGACGCAGAATTAACATGTTCCCGTGGGAATTTTGAGAAAAAACGTATCCTATATTAATTACTCCCGTGATTGAAATGAATCTAATGATACCGCATACATATTTTTTTAAAGGGAAATTTAGAAAAAATATTATTATGTCTTTATCCCGTGGGACTTTTAGGATAAAATGTATCCTATGACACTCCCGTAATCAAGACAAATCTAACGATACCTCATACATCAAAATCCATCAAGCCGTTTAGGCTACAGGTGGTCACAAAGGAAAAGACATACATACATACTTACATACACTCGAAAAACATTACCCTCCTTCTTTGGCAGTCGGGTAAAAAATTGTAAACCATCCTGTATACACTATAGACGCATTAAAGTGATTTGAATTTGAAAAAAAAAAAAAAAATTATATGTTTTTTTTATGTATGTTACCCGATTACTCCTTTTGATGATTCTTTTTTTGTTAGAAAGATCATACTCTATGGGTGGTCCCATTTACCATCTGATGATGGGATTCCATGGAAACCGAGGGGAACTTTTCAAAATTGTATGGGTGGAGAGAGCGTTTGTTAATTTTTTGATATAGTATTTGAAACTACTATGATGAAGGTATGCAGTTGATCTGATGTTGGAGTCAAGAGACCGCCGAGGGAATTCCTCGAGAATTTGTAGCGATGACCCCGTGTTTGGGCTTAAATTATTTGTATTGAGAAGATCTTTACAGTTCTAGATGGGATGTAATTGTCATTAGGGGACTGATGATTAAGTAGTATGATAGCTAAGGGAACTCCTCAACGGTTAACAGTAGCTACCTGGTGTTTGGGCTTGATTAATGTGTAGTGATGAGAAATTTGCACCTAAATGGGGTATTACTGTCATTAGGGGTCTGATGATGAAGTATTATGATAGCTAAGGGAACGTCTCAACGACTGACAGTAGCTACCTGTGTTTGGGCTTGATTCATTACAAGTGATCTAAACTTTACCTACACCTAAATGGGGTATGATTTCCGGAAGGCAATGACCTACGTGTGACTAATACCTAATTGTTATTTTTTGCTTTTTAGTTTTGACCTTTTGTTTGTTTTTAGGTTTTGGTTTCCGAAGTCGGTTTTTTCTTAGATAACACATAAGTCATTGTAATTTAAAAACTGTTAAGACTTTCAATTTTTTAATATTTTTCATAACATCACGCCTTTTATCCCCGAAGGGGTAGGCAGAGGTGCACATTATGTCACTGTACAATGTAACACCCACTTTTCACTATTATGTTATGAGTCCCATGTAATAGGGGGTGAGCCTATGGCCATATACCGGGCACAATTCCAGACTCCGTGCTACTACTGAGATTTTTTTAAATGAACCCATTATGTAATACATTGCCCGACCTGGGAATCGAACCCGAGACCCCTTGCGATCACTCGGCCAACGAGGCAGTTTAATATTTTTCTGATGACTATAGGAACCTTGCCGATCACTTGGTGCCATCTGATCTTCGACTTCAGGGACATCCTGTATATTAACAGACACTCACACGGATATTAGTATCAGTTGATTTTTTTAAACGTAGTTTAAACTGTCATACACCAAGCGGTCACCGGTGACCGCAACCTATTGTTCTATAATTGTGTCTACAAAACCGGTACTCGACGAGTTAATTATAATGATGTATAAAGCCTGCCACGAGATGATATGAATGATCAAGAAAATAAATAAATTTTACTTTATCAGTTACCGTGATTTTGCAACCCTTACTTACCTAAGTATTAAAATTATGTAATTTTATTATAATCAAGATTGGATTCAATGCACGCAGATAACAAAGACATAAACAGTCGATTCGAATCTCTGCAATATATCACAATCGGTACAGATTTTGTCATTTCGTCACGTATTTAAATATTAAAGTCAGGAAGAACTAAAAACTTAGGTAATAGCTTAGATTTTATATAGGTATGTCTAGATAGAGCGTCACCATACAATAGAAATAGAAATGACGTTGCAAAAAGTCTTGCATGTGTGCGTGCGGCTTGAAGTTTTGTTTATTTTATATTGTAGCGTGCATGCACGTAGTGACGCCTAGGTGACACGATTGGTACTACTTGACGGGAAAGTGCATTGCAATGAACAGTTCACTGCAAATTCTTGTGGCGCTTTTCGTAAGCTGACACTCCATCTAGTAGGTAAGTTAGTAAGAGTCTGACACTCCCTCCCGCCTCACCCAGACAGGAGCAGTAATTGGATGATTTGCACCCCTTAATAAAAATGTAGTAGTTAAGTATATTATAATCAAAAGGTAATAAATAGATAATAGAAATAGGAAAGAGTTTTTTTGAACTCTTGACTAAACTGGCGTGTAACGTTACTAATAATAAAAAATATCACCCCTTTTAATACCCGAAAGGAAGACAGTGGAGTCGTATCATCGTATTAACAGACAAACGGCAAAACGTTACCGTTTTTTTTAAGCCTGTAAACGAGCTTACGTATCACCTGATGGTAAACAATCGGCGTCGCCCATGGACACCGGTAACACCGAAGGCGTTACAAGTGCGTTACCGGCCTTTTAGGGATTGGGAGTTTGAAGATCGTTGGGATTCAGCGATTGGGGTGATTGGGGAAGGGGGGGGGGGGTGGTCATTGGGCCTCCGGTAACCTCACTCATACGGTTTTCTAAGGACGTGGTAAGTATCACTCCGGTCGAGCCGGCCCATTTGTGCCGAAGCATGGCTCTCCCACACTTAAAAGCATGCAAGCAAGCAAGAGTTTTAAGCATGTTACGTGGTAGATGTGGTACGGCAAGGGTAGCTCGCCGCCCGATCAGAACCAGACCCGAGCGAACGGCGCGTCACGTTGCGCGCGCACCTCGGAGCCACAGATGGGGTGATGCCGATACGGAGCCGTGAAGGACCTAACAGGTTGCCGGGGCTACGGCTCGAAAAGCAGAAGTAGGAACGGGGTGGTTTTTAGTCATTAAGAGTCTGACACTCCCTCCTGCCTCACCCAGGCGGGAGAAGGCATTGGATGATTTTCCGCCCTCAAGAAAACCGAACGAAATGTTTCGGCTCGCTTCCTTGTGCGAACAGCAAATGAGTGGAACGCTTTGCCAAAATCTGTGTTTCCTGAAGGGTATTTACAACCTGCGTGTCTTCAAGTCTCGAGTGAATAGGTTGCTTATGGGCAGACGGGCTCCATAGTAGACCATCAAGCTGCCAAGTGCCCATCAATAAAAAATAAGTTTATAGTACTTAGAACATTTATTCGCTTAGAATGTTTTTGTTTCGAGTTATGGACAATAGACAAAACGATATTTCTATGAAGATACTAAACCATTTTAACGTAGGCAGTTCTCAAAAAAACCTGCAGCTGTAGCCAAATGCCATTTAGCGCTTGTATATTTGTAGAGTAGAAAAGTAAATTATATGGGATAGGCCTGACATAAATTTTGACACTTGTCAGTGTCATCCCCATACATTTAGTTTTCTACTCTCTCGGTAGACAAACGCTAAAGTGGCTTTTGGCTAATTCCTGTCAAGGCATAAGGGGGCGTCCATAAACTACGTGAGATGTTTAAGGGGAGGAGGGGGGAGACTAAAAATTTCATCTATACTTACGTTGAAGAGAGGGATCTGATAGAAACAAAAAAATATATACTATTGTGATATACGAACTAATAATTTATTCCAGAGTAGCTTTTACCCGCGGCTTCGCTCGCGTCACAAAAGGATAATAAGTAGCCTATGTGACATATACCAGTATACACAGCGCCTTCTATACCAATACTTTTGTTTTCCCTCGGGAATATCACATTTTTCCGGGATAAAAAGTACCCTATTATTTAATCCGGACTTCTAACTTTACGTCTGTAAAAATTCAAAGCAATCGGTTTAGTAGTTACGGCGTGAAAGCGGAACAAACAAACAAACTCACTTTCCGATTTATAATATTAGTAAGGATTGTACATGCTTAAGATTTAATTGTACATGCACATGGTTTTTCTTTCCTTTAACAATCCAACGCGTTTACGGAAAAACCAACATTTTGAAAAATCTCACGTGAGTTTGGGGGATGGGGAGGGTGTTGAATAAAATCTGACGAAATCTTACCAAGGGGGGAGGGAGGGACAGACAATTAAAAAAAACACCTCACTTAATTTATGGACGCCCCCTAAGATAAACGAAATACATCTCCATGCATTACCTACACCTGCATGGCACAGACCATATATTTTCTAAAGCAAGTATACCTACACTGAGAAACAAAGTAAGAAACTCGGAGACTTGATACTAGAATTCGCCCTCCCAGACTTTATTAATGAAAAATAAATTAAAAATTCCGCTATGCTCATTTTCAAATCAAATCAAAATCTATTTTTATGACTGCCAGATTTTGTAGATGCATTCCAAAATGTCGTATGAACGCGCAGTTTACCACGTCCAATCAATCCCAAAATATAACATTTCGATTATTTATTTAGAAATAACAAAGATACCGCTATCAAAATTACAAAGAAATAATGATTTATTACAAAACAAAATTATGCAACATCAGCTGTTTAGTATAAAAGCCGCCATATTGAATTGTAATTTATAGTTCTAAGTTATTTATTGACGGGCAAAGGAAATATGGCATTAAGCCTATTGTTTATTTTATTTTTATTTACTGATTTTCGACAAGTTATTTGTAAGTTCAATAAGACTAGGATAGTTAATACGCAACAGGGACAAATTGAAGGCTATTTAGTTGCTAGCAAAATATATTATGAATTCTGTGGAATCAGATATGCCATTACAAAAAATAGATATACGGTGAGTAGTTTTTTTTTTTAGTTAATATTATCTATTCGATTGCTAACAAGTCTATTGAGATAATAAGTGCATCAGCGGTTATCTTATACTAAATGAAATCAATGACTACTTAGTTAGGATTCTTGTTACTGCTATTCAATTCATCTTTTAAATTCTAATCAAAACCTTTCATGTTTTATCAGCTACATTTTATCCTATTGCAATGCACTATAGTCATCACGCTTAGTGATTGTGTATTTGCCAACTATTCAAATTCATTGCTCGGTTGCCAAAGAAGAAAAAAAAATTCTTTTTCGAACTGTCAAAAATGACAGTTTTCTATAAATTTTGTATGAGAATGTGTATTGTGACGTCACGTTTTTTTTAGCGTCAAACAGTGTACCTACTTATTTCCTAAAAAATTGCTAAAATATACTAAAATCAAGTTGGTCATAATATTATTTAATGAAAGTGTGACTATTTTTTATATGTTAATGTATTGTATTAGTTATAATATGTATAACAGTCGAAATAATTTACTTTTGAAAGTACTTAACCAATTGTCAAAGTAGGCAATTCTATAACATGTCAATTCAAACTTTCGAAGTAAGTTCGATCGTTTTCTCGCCCGTCATTGGTCGAGATTATTCTTAGAACCAATGGCACGGCGGAAAGCGATCGTGTTCGATTCGATCTTTTGAATTGAAGGAGGCCATACACGCTATGCATGATGGTTATACCTTTGCATGCAAAACCGACAAGCATAACCGAGCACCGATGCACCGATAACTGTACAGTTTAGTCACATACATGATAGGGCTTGCCTGTCGGTTATGTATGCATGGCTAAAACCATCATGCAAAACCTATATGTGTATGGCCTCCTTTATAGAATACTCTTGCAGGAGATCGTAATTTAAAGTATTTTTCAGATCTAACATGTGTAACGGGTTCAATTCCGGGGTCGATCAAAGTATTACTGGGTTTTTTAAAATCTCAGTAGTAGCACGGAGTCTGGAAATGTGCCCGGTATATGGCAATAGGCTCACCCCCTATTACATGGGACTTATAACATAAATAGTGAAAAGTGGGTGTTACATTGTGCAGTGGCATTTAGTGCCGAAATGTGCACCTCTGCCTACCCCTTCGGGGGTAAAACGGCGTGATGTTATGTTCAGATCTAACAGAGAGCTCTGCTGTCGGGCAAATGTGTAGTCCCTTAGTCCCTTTATGCCACTCGCTGTTAAAGTGGAGGTGGAATAAAGTCGGTACAGTCATTATAATGTAATTGTATCTTTTGTCCCAGGCTCCAGTAGAACCACCGATGCACAAAGGAGTATTTCGAGCAGAAGACCGCTTAGTTTTCTGCCCACAATTTCAGGCACAAGATATTTTTGCGAAACCTAGTGATAATGAAGACTGTCTCATCCTAAACGTGTACGTTCCTTCTTGGACCAACATCACGTCATTACCAGTGATAGTATTCCTCCATGGGGGAGATTTTGGGGTCGGAAGCAGCTCCCCTACTCTCTACGGACCCAAATTTCTTATGACCAAAGAGAATATTTTAGTTACTGTTAACTATAGACTCAATGCTTTTGGATTTTTAAACTTAGGCACTAAAGAAGCGCCTGGAAACGCCGGCTTAAAGGATATAAGAGCAGCTTTAAGATGGATTAAGAAGAATATAAGAAATTTCGGAGGGGATGATAAAACGGTTACGGTACTTGGGCAAGGGAGTGGTGGGATCGCGGCCATATATTTGACTTTATCGAGATCCTGCAAGGGATTGTTCCATAGAATAATTTCTATGAGTGGTACTCTTTTTAGTGCGACATCATTCGACCCATTCCCCTTAGCTACAGCTTCGCAAGTAGCTAAAGCACTAGGCCTGAACTCTATGGACCCTGAAGAGCTTACATCTTTATATTTGAAAGTCCCAATTAATAAGTTAGAAGAAGCGATAAGTCACCAAATGAATGCCAAGTCCACATTTCTGCCGTCAGTTGAGAAGTATTTAGACGATGATCCGTTCTTGACGGACACTCCTTTTAATGTAATGTACTCTGATGACTTCAATCCCGTCCCTGCTATATTCGGATTAAACACTGTAGAGGGGATTATAACGATCCTAGATTACTATACTTTTACAAGCAAAACTGACAGAATACTGAATGGTGATTACTCAGTATTAGATCAAAGAAATTTTAAAGTACCTTCTTCAATAATTGGAGACTTACGGAAGGAACTCATGAAGTTATATTTCTCTGGTGCAAATAACGAGCAGACTGCGACGGGCAGTTTTATTCAATATAACACAGACTTCCAATATGTTGGACCAATGGCATTCTTTACTGAAGCTTACACAAACAATTCTAAAGTTGATGTTTTCCAATATATTTTCAACTATAAAGGTAAAAGGAATTTAGGAACATTGTTGACTGGCACGACTGGTTTACCATCGACTACGAACATGGACGACTTGTTCTACATATTTGATCTGGAGAAACCAGCATTATATACGAATACAGACGATGCCTTGATGGTGAGTTTTATGATCGAACTGTGTAACCTATTTGCAAAACATGGGTAAGTTAACCTTTTTTTGATGTCAATAAGCAAAATATAACGTCACACTTTGTTTATTTTAATGTCAGTACATTAATTTAAAACTTTAGACATGTATTTTTTATTTTCTTACATAATTAAATAATTTCGACGATAAATTAATTTGAAATATCGTGTGACGTCACAGCGTGTCACATTTTGTAGCACGTTATGACATAACGACCTCCCACTCCTAAACTTAGCACCATTTTATCTAAGTATTGCAACTTAATACGAGAAAATAAAAAATACGTGTCTAATATTTTTTCAATATCTAACCGACGGACTAATTCGATTTTTAATTTTGATACCCTGGAAACTACTCAATTAATTGGAAATAACGGGTGACTGAGAACCGATCTACCAGTACTGTAATCATAATGAAACTTATTCATGATCAGTGGGCGTTGTTATCATAACGTCAGTTCTCTTTATCCTCATAGGTGTAAAACATATAATAATATGTATAATGCAACAGCCACGTTTACCCATTATGTTATGAGTTCCATACAATAAGAAGTGTCCCTCAGAAACTTTAGACAACGCTCAAGATACAAACTTGTGAGGTTAGTAAAGTTATTGGCAAAGGTCGGCGATGGACTTGTATCTTCTTAACTGTTGTAGCCATTGCTGAAGATAGACCTACAGCCCTAGACGTACAGAACGAATTACTTGTTTCCAGGCATCCGACGCCAGACGACAAGTTAGACGGATGGTTACCTTACCCCAAAATCATGGAATTTGACCCACCAAACTTTCATTATGTGAAACCACTAAACAAAGATGGTGCTGAATATTGGCGAGATTGTTATGACAATTTTGGAATTGGAATTAATTAGTGATTTAGTGATTGTGCTGCTGTTTTAATCATACTTCTGTGCTATGGACCAAAGCCAAAACCTTATAACTCATTCATTAGATCAGTATGTTCATTTTTGAGACGGGGAAGTCATTCAGTGACTTCTCCCGTTCTAAGCTGCCTGTCCATTGACGAGGAGAGAGGCAGCGGAGCGGAGCTAGCGAGTATTGCGGAGTGGAGTGACGGACTGTGGCTGTCCATGACGCAGAGCGAGGCAGCGGTGCTGAACTAGCGAGTATTGCTGAACGGAGTAACGAACTGTGCGGAACTAGGCGGAGTTTATGCAACAAGTCATTTGAGTGGAGTGTGGCTTCCCGAGACCGCTTCCCCGCCGCCGGCTGACTCAACTGCCCCGCTCCGCAGTCTCGCACCGCTACCACGCGCCGCTTCAGAAAATGTATGAATTTTTAAACTAGCTCGCAAATCTCTTTCCATTAAAGCGGAGCGGAGATTTCATGCAATTCTATCGGTTAATATTTCTTCGTTTCTTCGCTCCGCTGCCTCTCTCCGCGTCAATGGACAGGCACCCTTTTTTTTTTTAAGGGGTTCAAATCATCGACTGACTGCTCCTGCCTGGGTGAGGCGGGAGGGAGTGTCAGACTCTTATTGACTAAAAACCACCCCGTTCCTTCTCCTGCACGTCGAGCCGGAGCCCCGGTTACCCGTTAGGTTCTCCGCGACTCCGAATCGGCATCTGCCCTATTGGGCCCCATCTGTGGTGGTCTGATGGCTCTTTGAGGCGCGCGCGGAACGCGACGCGCCGTACGTTCAGGGACAGGCACCCTTAGGGGTGGCGGGAGTGAGGGACTCTTACTGAATAAAAACCAATCTGTTCCTACCCTTGCATCGAGGTGGAGCCACGTAACCCGTAGCACCGGGGCTTACTAGGGGGGATGCGACTGATACTGCGGTAAATTCCAAGGAGTAATCGGGATGGTTTCTAGTCAGTAGGAGTCTGACACTCCATCACACCAAACCTACAGTGGAAGCAGTCATTCGATTAGTTAAATAACCTGGGTTTTTGACCTTCATAAAACTAACGTTATATGTCGATCTCTATTCATATATTTTGAACATAAATCTCGATGTATGTGTAGGTAACTTACCTTTCTTGTTTGTGTTAAAACATTCGTGAGACATACTGAATTATTTATTATGTTTTTCGGCTTTTTTCGGCTTTTTTCGGCGTTTTTCGGCTACGTCGTGTGTCGCGGAATGCTGCTCATTAATACAAACCTCTAGCATGTCTTCAAACTAGTCGTTTTCCTCGTTAAATAATTACGTGGGTAAGCCGAAAAACATGATAATTAACCTCTCTTGTAATTCGAAATTACGTGCACAGCGCGGTAAGAAAAATGGCGGTCAAGTGGTAAGTTCGCGCCAAAATTTTTGAATTGTACCTCGGCCCGCGGCTCGCTCGAGCGGACTCCGCGCTCGCACCAACAGTCGCCGCCGAAACATGTATTAAAAACGCACCGCGTTCCCGCCAATTTTCTCAGTTTCTTAAATCCATTACAGAGGACTTAGTACGAGTTTGTTTTACGTGTAAAGTAATCACATCGAGTACGCGGTCGGCGTTCTGATTGGTTGGTTCATTGGCGCCGGCCAATCAGATTGCCGAATGCGTAAATACTCGTTACGAATACTTTAAACGTAAATGGAACTCGTACTAAGGTCTCAGTATGCTTGACGTAAGTTTTGTCATAGGTACATGAAATATGACAATCCCAAACATTTATTTTTTTATTCATATTCAACTGTCGCAAGTGCCATTTTTTTATATTTGATGGGCCGACGTTTGACCAGCATCTCGCCTGGTGATCATTGTGCTCATAGTGTAAGAAATGGCGGTGTAAGAAAAAGAATTATGGTTGACGTTTTCCCCTCATCACTTTTCAGCTAGGCTATTCTACATATAATAGGGTAGATGACTAATTTTTATTTTAATGTCCGTCTGTAGATTGTTTAAAAACATTATACACATATTTTTATTTTATTACGGAAACGAATAGTTTTGAAGATAAAATGATTTGAAATATCGCATAACGTCACTTTTGAATACGATTTATACTCTAAAATGGCGTAGCTACATTCCACTCCTAAACTTTGATTCGTTTTATCTAAGTATTGTTTTCTTATAGGTACGATAAAATAAAAAAATACGTGTTTAATATATTTACATTACCTAACTGATTGGACGAACAGATTACATGCTATGTTATCGCCATCTAGTGAGCAAAAATGATAAACATAGTTGTATTTATTAGTAGGTACAATAATGTGAGAAATAAAACAATAAATTCTTTTCTACAACGTTTTTATTGAAAAATCTACGTAAATATTGTTTTTAAAATACATAATTACATGTACTTATAACAGAGATCTATTATTATAGTTACATTGTGCATTACTTAAAATTATTTTGAATAGATTTCATATATACCCTTAGAAGGTACAAAATTTCAACAATTTATTTACCTATACATATACTTTCATCAACATATTAAATAAATTAATATGTTTTCGGCTTACTCACGTAACTATTTGACAAGGAACTCTTTTTTTCTTTCTTTATAGGATTTTTTTTAACGGGGGAAAATCATCAAATGGCTGCTTCCGCCTGGGTGAGGCGGGAGGGAGTGTCAGCCTCTTACTGACTAAAAACCACCCCGTTCCTTCTCCTGCACGTCGAGCCGGAGCCCCGGTTACCCGTTAGGTTTTTCGCGACTCTTTATAGGAATAGGAGGCAAACGAGCAGACGGATCATCATATCCTGATGGTAAGCGATCAGCGCCGCCCATGGACTCTCGCAGCACCAGAGGAAAGAATACGCTCTTTTCTTGAAGGTTTGAAGGTCGTATCGGTTCGGAAATACCGCCTAGGTTTTAGTACCAGTGCGACAGTCGCAACGTCATGTATCGCGGAATGCTGCTCATGAATAAGAGCCACTAGCATGGCTTGAAACTAGTCGAGTTCTTTGTCAAACAGTTACGTGAGTATATCAAAAACATAATAATTCATTTGTTTCCACATATGTATGTTTTTGAATATGTTGTTTTTTACATGCACAACATCTTGCCTTTATTTTAAACCTCGAAGGGGTAGACAGAGGTACAATTATATAATGTAACTCCCACTTTTCACAATTTATGTTATGAGTCCCATGTAATAGGGGGTGAGCCTGGAATTGTGTATATGGCAATCCTTATACACAATTCCAGACTTCGTGCTACTACTGAGTATTTTTAAAAACCCAGTAATACTTAGCCCGACCCAGGAATCGAACCCGGGACCCCTTGCCCGGTAGTCGCACTTGCGACCACTCGGCCAACGAGGCAGTCAGTTGACTAGAGGACATACTCATGATACAATGGAGCACCTACTTGAGCAGTCGCACTTGCGACCACTCGGCCAACGAGGCAGTCAGTTGACTAGAGGACATACTCATGATACAATGGAGCACCTACTTGAGCAGTCGCACTTGCGACCACTCGGCCAATGAGGCATTCAATACATATTACATAAATATATTAAGTTTCCAATAACATCTATACTTATAAACTACCAAACGCCGTTTTGAAAATAACGGCGCATTTTAAAAGTACCTTATACATATAAGTATCGCAACAACAAATTTTAATTCATCGTACAAATTGCTTGAATATACATACATAATAAAAATTGCTTACAATATAAAATCCAACGCCATTAAAACTTCATATGTACCTCGATACCAAAAAGGCCGATATCCAAACTCTGTAACCAGAGACAAGAAAAGTTAAACGCAAAGGCACGCACCTGTACAGCCTGTCAAGTTCAACTCGAACTGTCAGTGTCACTGTCACTACTGTCATGTTTCTTCTTATTTCTTTTCTTGTCTTTGTGTTTTTCTTCGTGTTTTTCTCTATGCCTAGGACTTCTTTTTGGGCTGTCCCTGCGCACCCGATGATGTCAAATGCCTGAATCATCAGTCGTATGGTGAACGTTGTTTAGAGATTCTTCTGAACTCTCCGATTTTTGCTTTTTCTTGGTCCTGGAAAAACAAGAGAGGATTTGTCTTAGGTTTAAACCTATATTTTCATATATTAACGTTATATACCTGATCAAGTAGGTCCACAGGATATATCTATATCTTTTGTTGACTGAGATTTGATTTTCGAGAGAGACAAAAATATTTTAGAATGGACATAATAATTATGATATTGACCCGAGTGTCAAGCACGAATAACTATCCCATTCGGTTTCAGTGAACCAACCAATGAGAGCGCCGGAAGTGCTCGATATTACGTTACGATTGTGTCAGTTAATCGTACTCAGATTGGCGACAGATTAAAGAAGGGCCAAATTAAAAGTACCTTGGATGATGACTGTTGATGAAGCGATAGAGTTGTAGCATCTAAGAATTGTAGCAATTGGCGTTCTATAATCTCTGCCTACCCCCATGGGAGATAGACGTGAGGTTATGGATGCATGTATGTATGTAGCTAATGGGAATCTCTCTCTGCACGTCAATTCGAAATCTATTTGTTTTATGCAATATTTTGCAATCGACCACGGTTGCTATATAGCACGACTGCACTAAGTGCATCGCTAACGCACTGCATACTCGAACAGCGAACCGGGTGCATTCATAGCCATTATAACTAGCCATTATTTTAGCATAGTTTGCAACAAACTATTTTAATAGTGACTCCATTCCAGCTACTACCACATAGCTCGACCCAAACACTATTCTTGAAACTACAGGGGAAGCTTAAAGACCCAAAAATGTAGGTGTCATGCTATTGGAGAGGGAGGCCTATGTCCAGAAGCCTTAGTACGAGCTTGTCTTCGTTTAAAGTAAACGAAACGAAACTTCGTCCCGCGCTGTGATACGTTAGTTCATTGGCGCCGGCCAATCACAGCGCCGAACGCGTACTCGTTTCGAATACTTTAAACGTAAAACGAACTCGTACTAAGGCCTCTGTAGTGGAAGAAAATGGGCTGATGATGGTGACGGGTGATAAGGACATAACACTCACCCTTTCTTCTTTTCATTTTCAGTCGAAACTTGATCCTTGAATAGTTTGGACAGCTCCAATTCTTTGATTTCATCCGAATTTGTTAAGATAATGGCTCTGAAACAAAAATCAGGCGTCACTGGAAAACATATGGGAACTGTTTTTTTTTTTGTATGATATCAGGTGACCCGTCTACTCGTTTACCGACTTATCCCATAAAAAGGCTCGTTAAAACTCATTATCGATTCGATACACACTCATAAACGACATGCGAACAAACAGAACATAAAACCCGATAGCCTTCAAAACTGTAATCTGAACTACTCAAACAAAATCAAGCCTTTCATCAATATTTACTTGGGTACTTAGGTGATGGCAAAGTAGAATAGATTTGTCACCATAACCCTAGTCATTCTAGGGCTGATGCCGAAACGGAGCCGCGGAGAACTTAACGGGTAACCGGGGCTCCGGCTCGAAGTGCAGGAGTAGGAACGGGGTGGTTTTTAGACAGTAAGAGTCTGACACTCCCTCTCGCCTCACCCAGGCGGGAGCAGTCATTCGATGAATTCCCCCGTAAAAAAATAAAAATGAAAGGGTGCCTTTTCTTTGATGCGTTTCGGAATTCTACTTCCTTCAATTCCTTCCTTCTTAATCGTCCTTTCTCCAGAAGAATCTACACTTAAAACAAGCTAATAGCTTTACTAAAGGAAACCGATAGACTGACGCTTTCCATTTTGTTTTACTTTCAAAAGTGCCTTATATATTGTTCTACTTCTCATTTTCAGTGCTCAATCAGTGTATTACGTAAATTAAGGTAAACAAATCCGTGTATATATGTATGTATAGCAGGGCGCCCTATACAAACAGATATACAGATTATACGTACATCTAGGGATAGGTAACCCCATCGTTTGCCGCGCCCTCGTAGTGGTGGAACTGTGAGGTAAAATGTCGATAGATTTTTTGTTTGTGCAAAAGATTCGTATTACATTTTTTGACTTCTCATGTAGGTGCTCCATTATATTTCATGAGTATGTACTCTAGTTAACTGACTGCCTCGTTGGCCGAGTGGGGTTCAATTCCCGAGTCGGGCAGAATATTACTGGGTTTTAAAAAAATTGGTAACAAGGAGTCTGGAATTGTGCTCGGTATATGGCAATATGCTCACACCTTTTACATGGGAATCATAACATAAATAATGAAAAGTGGGTGTTATATTGTACAGTGGCATAATGTGCACCTCTGCCTACCCTTTCGCGGATAAAAGGCGTGATGTTATATTATGTATGTACTCTAATTAATTTTTTATTCTCCTGACTAACTTATGGCACATGAAGGTAATGATAGAAAATTTTAAAAAAACATGCATTATTTTTAACCGACTACTTTCGTGTTCGTGTTTTATAATCCTACTATCCTACTAATATAATAAATGTGTAAGTTTATATTTCTTATTCATTCACGTCTAAGGGTGATTCTCCAAAAAAAAATACCAAAAAATTAACGGCGTCATTACCCTCAAGTCACAGTTAACTCTGCTGATTAAAATACAAAGTTTAGTTTCAAAAAATTGAGCCATGTCACTGCTCTCACCGAATGGAATAAAATACAGATGCTAATAAGTTATTGCGATGCTTAACAACGCGGGAGGATAATGATTTGTTAAATAAAAATTATAGTTTTTTAAAGAAACACCCCTAAACGGCTGAAGAGATCGAGATCAAATTTGAAACAGAGGTAGGTAATGGTCTGTTCTAACACTACCTTTTATCCTACGGAAACATGGATGAAACCACTGACAGAATATAGAGGTAGTATCGTGTAACAGCGAATAGTGGTTGGTTATGAACATGCTTTTCTTTACTCCTTTTTTGCGGCGGAAAATCATCCAATGACTTACTGACAAATCCCTTAAGGTGAATGCCTAGATAGACCTTGCCATACATTTTTAGGTGTAGTAATCTCCATAAATAAACAGTTTCTGCAGAATAAAATCAACTAAGTATAATAAGACTTTATTAGGTATGTATTATGTTCTCTTACGGCCCAAATTAAAAAAAAAAACAGTTTTGTACAAGCCTGCCACAACCTCCCAAAACGGCTGCAACTCCTGTAAGCCAGGATCTACAGTAGATACAACCATGAAAACACCGGAACAGAAGTCCGGCGCGTCCCAAGGACATGAATAACTGTCTTGGTTCCCGCAACGAAGTGAATCAGAAGATATTATAAGAGGAGAAGAAAAAAACGATAGTTTCCACTTCCCTCGGTGAATTACTGCAGGAGACAGAATCAATTAAGCCTAAAGGCACAAAAGAGAGACTGTACAACTGGGTGCAGCCCAGTCGCCAAGCACCACGGACTAAAAACTAAGTGGGTCCTATGTGTGAGCTGTTATACTTGCTTCCAATAATAGGTGATTCTTATTGACTAAACCACCACCCCATTCCCACTCCTGCACAGAGCCGGAGTTATAATAACCCGCCTATAAAAACTAAAACTAATTTATCTCGCACTTCAAACAAAAAAATATCGACATCAAGAAACATCGATACATCACCGCACCACTAACAAAGGTTGATTTCAACGGGTTTGTGTCAAGGTGATGACCGTCCGTTCTGGCGACCCCTCCGTTATATATACAGCTTTATAATATAAGTATACGATACAACACATTCAGCGAAATAGCTTTACTTTTCAGTGTAGTCGAATGGACACGGATTTTTTTTATGGAATGAGTCAGTAAACGAGCAGACGGATCACCTGATGCAAACCATAGGCGTCGCCGTATACCTGAAACACCAGAGGCGTTACAAGTGCGTTACCGGCCTTTTGAGCTATTGGGAATTTGAGGATTGTGGAGGATTCGGGGATTGAAGACACTTTGGGGTAATTGATCCTCCGGTAACCTCACTCACACAACGAAACACAACGCAAGCGTTGTTTCACGTCGTTGTTCTGCTCGGCCGTGGTATCACTCCGGTCGAGCCGACCCATTCGTGCCGAAGCATGGCTTTCCCACATTTAACTATATTTACCTAATATTATATTACTCTAACTACTAGGTACGAGGTCCCACCCACTGCTGGGGACTTACTGATTATAGCTAAATATTTTTTTCTCCATAAATGGACTATCCAACATAAATAATTATATTTGGAACTATTAAAAACTACTGCCTCGTTGGCCGAGAGTCGCACTTGCGACTGTCGGACAAGGGGTCTCGGGTTCGATTCGGATGCGGGCTGAAACCGCCAACCCGCATTGAGCAATCGTGGTGATTAATGCTCAAACCTTCTCTGGGTGAAAAGAGGCTTTGCCCTGCAGTGGACATTAAAGGCTGTTGATGTGTGTATGTATTTCAGTTTGTGAGTGATTCAGTGAGTCACAATTACGCACTACAGGCCGGAGTGTCTCTCGCGACGGCTGGGGCGTGAAGTGGTTCGTTCCCTCATGCACTCTGCCTCCTCCTTAGCTAGCATGACTGCTTCGCAGAAGGAGGAGACGGCATCCCAGTCCCCCTCGCTCCGTACCATGGTCTGAACCAGAGCCGGACGCGAGAGGTCGCCGTCGCCGATAAATAGTTAGTGAACCTGAAGTCCAATTACAGCTAGTAAGTAGGTACATAACCTACTTACTAGCTGTACTTTTATTAATAATTTCGTCAAGGGGTACGGTAGACTCGATTGAAACATTACTTGAATAACAAAACATAAAAAAATGTCGATTTCGAGTCGACAACTTATATCCGCGAAATTCGGATTACGGAGATTCATTTTAATGACACTGACAGACAAACCGCAGTCGCCATCTTGAGTAGACAATAAACGTTCCATTTCACACTAGCTCTCAAATACGCCTCGCCAATCATCAACACGTTGTCGCGTCAAAAAAGTATAAATTAACAAGAAATATGAATAATTTCACGCGAACGAAGTCGCGGGTAACAGCATGTATATTAAATTACATAAACAATTTCCAAATGTTAATTCACTTTTCTGTACCTTTACGTTCAATTTATGAAAACTAGAAATTACTAAATAGCGACCTTACAAGCAATCAAAAGGTACAAAGAGAACAATTGAATGAATGAACAACAAATATAATATTTAGGTACGTATTAATTTGTGAAGTTTCAATAAAAGTAATTTTGTTCTACGAACTGCAGTGTTTTCTTTAAGAAGAGAACTTAACATATCAAATAAATATAAATCATAAGTGAAGTCACGCAATAAATGATAGTCTTGAAATATTACAGTTAGGCCTATGACTCATGCCGTAATAATCTTTAGAAAGTTGAACAAAAGCGCGACCCTACATAGATTGGATAGGATTATTAGCTATTCTACCGTATAGTAGTTAGGCAGCCACGCCTTGAACAAAGTGTCTTTATTAAAGAACTAGCTTCTGTCAGCGGTTTCGGCCGCTTTCCTAGGGGTAAAAAGTAGTCTATGTATTACTTCAGAACATAATTAAATTATGTTCCAAAGGACTTTGCTCTGCTTCCATACATTGTTGGCCTTGTAGCCAAGAGTATCGGCTAAATATGTATTGTATTCTCTATCATTTGTAGACTCCTAGAAGATCTTGTTGTATAGCGGACTAGCTGCAGAAAAGATATATTTTAATAAAAGAATCAGATTTTGAGGTTATAATCTAAACATAACAATGAATATTTGGACGAATGTTGAATGTTTGAATGATTGTATCGAAGTAAAGAAGTTTTGATTATACTTATTTTGATTACTGTTTTTACTATATTTACTACCTATTTCAATTGGAGTATGACTGCATTCATAAGGAAAAAAAACACAATCGATCGATTATAATTAATTGGACATCCTTCACTTTCGTTCGACACGACATGACATAGGACTTGCTGATTTATTTATTTATTACATACATACATACATAACTTCACGCCTGTCTCCCATGGGGGTAGGCAGAGACTAAGGAACGCCAATTACTACGATTCTTACATACCTCTTTCGTTTCATTAACAGTCATCAATTATTACATTAGGCGAAGGCATTTTACATCAGGCGAAGATGGCAACCTAATGTTATTAATCGCGTTAAATTCTATTAAAAGTACGTTTTGGAATACAGCTAGTCCGTGATGCAGAAGTATTTGCAACTTATATAGTAAAATAAGGGATTAATTATCGTATATTGTAATACTCTTTATTGCACAGGGCTATTTTGGACATTGTCTTTTCATTAAAATCAAATTAAATTGCATCAAATGTGTTGTTACAGACCATAATCAACTCCTATTCTTCATATCCTGACCTTATACATATATCAACAGCCTATAACTGCCCACTGTTGACAAAACGCCTCTTCTCACACGGAGAAGGTTTGAGCATTAACCACCACGCTCGCTCAACGCGGGTTGGCGATGACAAACTTATAATTAGAAATTATAAGCCCAGGTTTCCTCACGATGTTTTCCTTCACCGTTTGTCAGTGGTGTCTAAATAATCTTAGAAAGTACATATAACTCGGAAAATGTCACATTGGTACTTGCCGTTGGTAGGTTTCTAACGCGCACCTGAATGAGAAGCGAGCGTCTTAAACCTCCGGGCTACCGCCGATATATCCCGATTCGTTCAGCTTTTTTGACGAGATTGAGTATTAAATATACATACAAACACACAAAGGTTTTACATTTATAACATTAGTGGGACTCACTTTTGACCAGTTATTTTATGAGTCCCCTATAATAGGGGTTGACCTTATTGTCTTCGGTCCGTGCTATATCTGAGAAATTTTCGAATAACCGAAACATTCGCAATAATATAATGCTTGACATTAGAACCGAACCCCAAGACCCCTTACATGGCTGTCACATTCGAAAATTAACTTTAATTTCATTAAAAAGTTCCTGCGTAGCGAATTACTACGACGTAGCTAATGCGTAGGTGCCCGCTACGTGACCCAGCTACGTCGTAGTAATATATATATATAATACAATAACGTGTATTAGATATGAGATTTAAATAAAATATTTTATTTTATCTGCCTCGTTGGCCGAGTGGTCACAAGTGCGACTGCCGGGCAAAGAGTTTCGGGTTCGATTCCCGAGTCGGGCAAAGTATTCCTGAGTTTCAAATAAAAAAGTTAGTAGTAGCACGGAGTCTGAAATCGTGCCCGGTATATGGCAATAGGCTCACCCCCTATTACATGGGACTCACAACATAAATAGTGAAAAGTGAGTGTTACATTGTACAGTGGCATTGAGTGCCGTAATGTGCACCTCTGCCGGTAGGCATACCAAAATGTGATGTTATGTTATGTTTTGTATAGATAGTCCATTTATCGCGAAAGACTATACGCTATTAAACATCACGCTACGTTCACTAAGAACCGAGCAGAGGCTGAAACAATAGCTCGTACAGAATAATGTATCTAATGCTCACCTGATCCGTCCCCCATCACCTCGATCGTGTCGCCTGTCGCTGATCACAGATATGGAAGTCTCTCCGACTTCATGTTTCTTCTTATGTTTTTTTGATTTGTGTTTACTGTGGAATTTATACATAAATTTACAAACCTTGGTTTTTCAAATGTACAGGGTATAAAAATTAAGAATCTAATTAGTCCGTAAGTTTGGTAATGAAAAATATTAGACACGTATTTTTTTATTTTGTCGTATAATAAAACAATACTTCGATAAAACGAATCAAAGTTTAGGAGAGGGGACTAAAACGTCATTTCTACGTATAAAATGTACAGTCAAAGGTCAAAAGTCCACTGTTGTGATGTTCACACGGTAATGCGTAAGTAATTTCATATTAATGTGCATAAAAACACGTACGTACGCATACACACACGCACGCGTACGCACACGGATACAAATATGCGTGTATATGTAGGTATAAGCGCTGCAGCGCAACCGATAATTAATATTATATAATCCTGAAATATAGATCTGTTTGTTTATATTTATATATATATATATATATATACATGTAGGTATATTTATATAAAGGTTATTTTTTTTTATTTCTTTTTATATAATAGGTATTAGTTTGTTTTATTGTTTATTATTGTTATTTCTATCGGTTTCTTCGGTATTATTACTTTTTTTATTGTTTGTGTAACACACTATGTGTCTCGGTGTTATTATATCTTTTCCTGCCACAGGCCCACAGGAAGAGATTCCAGTTGGAATATGTGGGGCCTATGTACTCTGTTTTTATATATGTGTTGTCCTCTGTGTTGAATGTGTGTACATAAATAAATAAATAAATAAAATAAATAAATAATTAGTCTTACGGTGGCAGTGGACTTTTGACCTTAGACCGTACATAAAAGTGACGTCACGTGACATTTAAAGAAAGAAAGAAGAAAGAAAGAAAAACATTTATTCGACACATTGCATGCACAGATATGTAGACAAAAATGAGTTATAAATAAAAACGAAATTAAAACAAACAATAAACATCACAAAATTAACAAAAATAGATGCATGCACGTGTCGAACGGGCCTCCACCTCAGCATTATGTTGAGCGTTTCATTATTTCGAATCAATATATCTTCGAAACTATTCGTTTCCGTAAAAAAAAATAAGTGTCTAATGTTTTGGAATAATGACGGACATTACAATAAAAATTAGTCATCTACTATCTACATCATACATCTACAGCTAACAGATTGATTGCTGATGGTGCACTGTGTTTTTTATATGTAACTAGCTTTTACCCGCGGCTTCGCTCGCGTCACAAAAGGATAAAAAGTAGCCTATGTGATATAATTACATACCAATACACACAGCGCCATCTATACCGATACTTTTGTTTTCCCTCGGGAATATCAAATTTTTCCGAGATAAAAAGTACCCTATTATTTAATCCAGACTTCTAACTTTACGTCTGCAAAAATTCAAAGCAATCGATTTAGTAGTTACGGCGTGAAAGCGGAACAAACAAACAAACTCACTTTCCGATTTATAATATTAGTAAGGATGGGTCGACGTTTATCCACTATCTCGCTTAGTGGTTAACGATAATGCGACCTACGATGGAACCCGCCTACCCATAAGCAACCTATTCACTCGGGCCTTGAAAAGATAACTGAAATAAAGAGCTAGTGTAAATCAGTCATAATAACCATTTAAATTTGTAACCTCAGTTTAAAATGACACTCCGAACATCATCGAAATTGTGAAAGCCGTTCTTGAGAACGTGTGTACGAACAATTGGCTGCTGGTAGATACAATGTACCTAGACTCACCAACTATTTTGGTGATAGAACACTAAAAAAGAGAATACCATATGTATTAAATAGTCTGCGCACAGACATAAAGAATGAAATAAATTCAAATAGGTTTAAACGAAAATTGAAGTCATATTATCCTTACTAATCCTTACTTCCTTACTATATACCTCTATATAAGAACAAACAAACAAACTCACTTTCCCATTTATAATATTATATATACATATATGTTTGTTCCGCTTTCACGCCGTAACTACTAAACCGATAGCTTTGAATTTTTACAGACGTACAGTCAGCAATTATTAAATAATAGGGTACTTTTTATCACGGATAAATTTGATATTCCCGAGGGAAAACAAAAGTATTGGTATAGATGGCGCTGTGTGTATTGGCCATATGTCACATAGGCTACTTTTTATCCTTTTCTGACGCGAGCGAAGCCGCGGGTAAAAGCTAGTTTAGAAGTAATAAATAAGTATAAGTTTCAACGCCTGTATAACATTTAAATGTAGGTAAGTACATTTAATTGTAATGTCTAGCGACTCGACCCCGCAGTCAAACCATTGCAACGGTTTTGTGGGGCTTAGATTATAAAATACTTACTTTTGTGATATAAAGATAAATAAAATAAAAAAAATTACTCTCTTAATATATATATAGAGTAAATAATTTAGTAAAAAAATACTATAGTCAACATCTCGTTTAAATAAAGTACTACTTCACTTCTCCCTCTATCTCTTTCTCTCTCTCTCTCTCCCACTTACCTATGTTTCTTCTCCTTCTCTTTCTCCTTCTTGTCAGTGCTCCTATGTTTGGTCTTCTTTCTGTACACGGAGCCACCATTACCTTCATCCACGGTCTCCAAGTGCAAAACATACAATCTGTATATTTGTAGCAATATTACCTATAAGAGAAAATGCATCATCATCATAATCATCATCTACTCCTTTTTATAAGTCTTACTCCACACTGGGAGTTTCTCCTGTGTCGTGGGTGCGTTTACAAACATACAAGTTCACATACACATGACACCCAGACCCGGAACAATAATCTGTGGATCACAGAAAGAGTTGTTCCGTGCGGTATTCGAGCCCTATACGCGTTACGCGACGTGGTCATCATCTTCATCATCAATAACAGGCCATGATAACCTTCTGCTGAATAAGGACCTCCATCTTATAAGATCATTTATCATAATATATAGATCATAACTTGATTGTAAATGATCAGCGCTGCCCATGGATACTCGCAACACCAGAGGAGTTACGTGTTGGCAGTGTCTTAACAAGGAATACGCTCTTTTCTTGAAGGTTTGAAGGTCGTATCGGTTCGGAAATACCGCCGACTACAGATCATTGTTGTTTTGCTGGGCGAGGCAGAAAGTTTTGGGCCTTCTGTATTCTCATTTACACGGCGAAAGACAATGCTAGCTCCCAATGGTAGACTATGGGTCTCTTCTTCATAAGAGGGTTGAAGATTATAAAATAAACCTAGTGACAGTCCCCTACTGGAGTATGAGCATCCTCAAGATCGCAAAATAAAATGTTTGTGGGTGCTATCAGATAATCTAGTTGCAGTACTTTGCTGGAATATTCGCTTCCTCTGCATAAGAGGATCAGGATAATATCCACGGTTTGAGATAGCAGTTTAAAGGTCCATGTTTTTCAGAGACCGTATCTGCCCAAGTTCAGCAGTTGGCTTTGACGACGCTCATGGAAAGAGTACCATCGGCAACAAATGGCTGAAGATCAAAAGGTGAAATAACAAAATCACTTACCAGAGTATTCTTACACGTGAAGAAGATGTTCATATAGTTTATAATCTTATAATGGCATATGATTAGAAGTCGGAACGCCAAGAACGGTGCATCTTGAAGAGCTATATTCATGATAATGGCACACACTTCGATTGAACAGCAGCACGCCTTGCTATTTCTGTTTTTAGGAAAAATAGAGGAGATTAGAAAGGTGTAGTATAATGGTTTGTTATTAATATATAAGGTAAGCAAGTCGTGTAGCTGTGTGGCCGGTGATAAGATAGTAAAAGGTATCGTGTGGTTGTGTGCTTGCTAAGCATATTTTTATCGGATAAGTCGGTAAACGAGCAGACGGATCACCTGATGGTAAGCAATCGGCGTCGCTCATGGACACTCGGAACACCAGAGGCATTACAAGTGCGTTACCGGCCTTTTGGTCATAACATTTCAAGTGCATTACGCCTTTTATCCCCGAAGAGTGAACATTACGGCACTTAATGCCACTGTATAATGTTACAACCACTTTTTACTATTATGTTATGAATCCCATGTAATAGGGAGTGAGCTTATTGCCATATACCGGGCACAATTCCAGGCTCCGTGCTACTAATGAGATTTTTTTTGAAATCTCAGTAATACTTTGCCCGATCCGGGGATCGATCCCGAGACCCCTCGCCCAGCAGTCGCAATTGCGACCATTCGACCAGCAAGGCAGTCAATAAACAATTTAATAAAATGTTTTATTCATTCATTTGGTGATTCCCGTGAAGGTTTTTGACAAATAGTGTAAAATTTTGCAATGTGTTTAAGAAAAAAGAAAATATATATATATATATAGAGGTATATATGAACAAATATACTATAGTTATTTAAAATTATGTAAAGTTTTGTTATCAAATATCGGTTTGAATGGGATAAGAGATTTTTTCGTACAATCTTGTTACGTTAGCATTCATAACTCAAAAACGACTAGGCCAGTTTTAATGCGGTCACACTATTATTATAGATGTGAAAATTTCTTTATTTGCATGATTGTCTGTCAATCACTCTGAAACTACTAAAAGGATTTTGATGAAATTTGGTGTACAAACAGAGTATGGGCTGATTTAGGTGTTAGGATTTACTTTTTATCCCGATTAAATGTTCCCATGAGATAAAACAGGATTACGCGGGCAACGCCGCGGGTAAAGCTAGTGGAATATAATAGGGATGATGACAGGGGATGTAAATTAAAAATCTAATTAGTCCGTAAGTCAGGAAATGCGAAAATATTAGACACGTATTTTTTTATTTTGCCGTATAAGAAAACAATACTTAGATAAAACGAATCAAAGTTTAGGGGTGGGAGCTAAAACGTCATTTATACGTGTAAAATGTACATAAAAGTGACGTCACGCGACATTTCAAATCAATATATCGTCGAAAGTATTATGTTTCCGTAAGAAAATAATAAATACGTGTCTAATGATTTAAAATAATCTACCAGACGGACATTAAAATAAAAATTAGACATCTACCCTATTGTAATGAAAATTATGGTCAAAATAATTTGACAGCAAAAAATGAGCAGACCTGAAGACAAGTGACCTACACCCAGCACGTGTAATAGACAAATGCGTCATTGACCCCTTCAGAGAAAAACGATCTTGTGAAACACTCACGCACTGAGAGTCTCAGCCAAAAAATCTGTATTCCCATCTAAACCGACTTACAAAAAAAGTGCTATTAAGTGTTTAGCGAAGCAGGTGCATGTGTAACACATATTTTACATACATGTCGGACCTATTGGCTGTTCCTCGGGATTTCCTGGACTTGGTTGCAGTCAGGACTACTGTGAATTGCATGAGGGACCATGACCATATCGCCAGGGTTAGGAGTACTAGGACTTTCTCCGTGGCCACCTTCTCATCTTTGAAGGAGTCGAAGAATTCTATTATGTCCGCTGCCGTACCTTTGGACGGGAATAAAAGAAAATATTTATCTTGATTGAATCTGTTTCAAGGGCATGTTTTAGCATATTGTTTTTTATAGAGTAACGAATGGATTTTTATAATAACTATCGTGAGACATACTAAATTAACTCAAAATCGCTGGTTACTCTTTAAAGAAGAACCACAGAGGGATTCTTCTTCATGAGGAGCATGCGCAGTCGCGGCGATATCGCGCAGCCTACTGACTGACTGACATCGCCGCATAGTTCGAAACTTAGAGCTTTTCTCAGTATATTCACGTGAGTAACCCGCGATTTTTAGTCAATTTAGTAACGAATTGAGTTTCTTGCTCGTTCTTCTCCATTCGAATCTACATTTTGGAATGAGCACCTAGCTTCACTAACGGACAAACTGACAGACTATTATTTATTTTGTGTTTCAAAAATACCCAATTATAGTTTAATTGACTATGACATAAAAATATTTTAGCGTCGAGCTAGCTGACATGCATATTGCATACATAATACATAACCTAACACCTTACTCCCATGGGGGTAGGCAGAGACTATGGACCTTATGAACTAGCTGAAAGTGTACAAAATTTTTAAACATGTCGTTAAATGCTGTTTCAGCACAGAACACCTTGCTGTCAATGAAATTACCATTTTTCAAAGGTAATTTTACAGTAAAAGTAGGCCGTATTTGGGAAGGAACATCTCGTTTTACAACAGCATATTAATATATAATACAGTATCAATCAAAACACAGTACACAGAGATAAATATTGCATAAAAACATTTAGAATGTCACGTACGACGACTATTTATTTGTGCAAAACTTTTTCATTTTTGATCTTTTTAAACGAGTTACAAAAAATAGCAGATTCTAAGTTTGGCCTGTAATTTTGTAAGTTTCTACGCTATCTAAACTCTAGCTGAACCGATTTTGACGCGGTTTTCAAGTAACGTTTCTTTAACTTTTTTTTTAATCATCGAATGACTGCTCCCGCCTGGGTGAGACGGGAGGGAGTGTCAGACTCTTACTGACTAAAAACCACCCCATTCCTACTCCAGCCCTTCGAGCCGGAGCCCCGGCAACCCGTTAAGTCCTTCGCCGCTCCGTATCGGTAAGAGGGCTCTTTGAGACACAAGGGAACGCGACGCGCCGTACGCTCGGGTGCAACTTGTTGCAAGTCCGTCTATCTAAAGCCTTAGTAAGAGAATAGCCAGGCTGTACTAGTTTAAACTGTCAAACACCAAGCGGTCACCGGTGACCGCAACCTATTGTTCTATAATTGTGTCTACAAAACCGGTACTCGACGAGTTAAATGACTTACCGATATAAACAAGTAGCAGTTGACTGAGCTGGTCCCTCGTCAGGTCTCCCTTGGGCAGTAACCACCGTCCCACGATGAGGGTAAGCATCAGAAACTGTTCAATTAGCGTCACCCACATGTCTGTGGGGATCTTCGTGGCGCCTGGTATGGGGATGTCTGTCTGGGAGGCGGAAATAAGATGAATTAGAATATTTTGAACGTTAAACAGACATAGTGCGGTTTTACGGCTGTTTTTGTTGAGACTGCCTCGTTGGCCGAGTGCTCGCAAGTGGCAAGGGGCCTCGTGTTCAATTCTCGGGTCTGGCATAGTATTACTGGACTTAAAAAAAACTGAGTAACTAGTAGCGCGGAATCTGAAATTGTGTCCGGTATTTTGCATTAGGCTCACCCCCTATTACATGGGACTGATAACATAAATAGTGAAAAGTGGGTGTTACATTGTACAGTGGCATTAAATGCCGTAATGTTCACCTCTGCCTACCTCTGTAGGGATAAGAGTTGTGATGTTATGTTATGTTTTATAGCCTTCATCGATAAATGGACGATTTGACACAACCAAATCATTTATTTATTTATATCTTCTTCGCAAAAAAATACAGTGAATGGCGGACATGATGCTTTGAATAACTGATTTTTACTACATGTACAAAAATAGTTACGTTTTAAAATTAACACAATTATACTACGCGGACGAAGTCACGTGGAAAATATAATATATAATATAAAATTACTACTTAATATATACACATATAAATTGTATATAAATTTTGTTATTTCATATATAATATATGAAATAACTGTTTATTTTAGTATTATATATAATATATATAATACTAAAAATTTTGTGAATATTTTTTTTCTGAATTCCATTCCAAACTTGGATAATTAATGAATGTTTTAATCTAAACAGGTGATGGTTCCCAAACATTAAACAATATATTTAACTCGATGAGTTCATGGAAGCCATAGACACTGACGAGTGTCTATCGCTTCCATGAACTCAATCTGGTTAATGTCTGTAAAGCACTGTAAACACTGTCAAGGGCTCTCCAAAGTCGGTTTTATATCAAAGTTCTATGAGAGCTTTTATAAAGACTAGATAGCTTAGTTGGTTTTTTTGAGAGCGGAAAATTATCCAGTAACTTCTCCTGCCCGGGTGAGGCGATAGGGAGTGTCAGACTCTTACTGACTAAAACCACCCCGTTCCTACTAATACATTTTGAGCCGGAACCCCGGCAACCCGTTAATCCCTCCGTATCAGCCCTATTGGACCCCATCTGTGGTGGTCTGATTGCTAGCTTAGTTGATAGAATCCTCTTATGAACACAAATTACTCTTAAATACAACGCCCATCGATCGAAATTCATATTGTAAAATTTTATACTCTTGAGTTGCAACACTAGCGCCCATTGCATCGTTTTTCGTGGATATTACAACAACATATCACATAACATCACGCCTTTTATCCCCAACAGGTTCGGCAGAGGTGCACATTACGACACTTAATACCGCTGTACAATGTAACACCTACTTTTCACTATTTATGTTATGAGTCCCATGTATATGTGGGGTGGGCCTATTGCCATATACCTCCATGCTCCGACTCCGTGCTACTACTGAGATTTTTGAAAACGCCCAATAATATGTTGCTCGACCAGGGTATCAAACCCGAGACCCCTTTCTCAACAGTCGCACTTTAGACCACTCGGCCAACGAGGTAGTCTAATGTTTCATGTGCGTATTTTTGTGTTAAAAATGACAACTTTATTTTTTTTTTTCTTAGTTTATACCTACATCGAAAATACTCCTTAGGGCACGTTGTTTTGCCGCGAGACGAAAACGAAATATACAAGGTGTTGTTTTAAAGCCACGTCATTTTCTAGGAGGTAACTCGGCTATCGATTCTGAGTCCAAATCAATAAAATAAAATAATTTTTTTATGTAGTAACATAATAGGGAACGCGATTGAGCTTATGTTTTGCGAGGTAATTTGTCTGTGTAGTATTCAGATGTGTAGTAGTAGGTATATATTAGTAATTTAGTACTTTGTTTCTTTTTATTTTGTTTTGTTTGTTTTTATTATTATAATAATTTTGTAGGGAGTACTGTATCGACCACATTCTTTTATAGTATTAGTTTGTTTTTTATATGTGAAGACTTGTCATTGGCTGTCAGACTCTCACACAATTTCTTAATTTTTGTTTTGTTAGCTGTTAGTCTTCCAAAGTTGTTAAATAAATAAATAAATAAATAAATAAATAAAAAATTTGTAGGTCAATATTTTTCATTTTTCTGTAAATTACGGAAATCTGTAAGTGCGAACTACACGCCGCTGTCTTGTAGCTAGCTTTATAACGCGGCTCTACACACACAAACTCGAACACGTAATTGATATTATTCCTAATTCCATAAAATTCCAATAAGAAACATTGCTGTCGCTTATTCTGAAATACTGTCGAACTTATAATCTGAAATACTTATTAATAATTTATTGAACCTTTATGACTTTTGTGACATGCTACCGAGACATGCCACGGTTTTAAAACTACACCTTGTATTTCACGGTGCATAAAATAACTGACCTCCACATAAGTCACGTTGATCGTCTTCTTCTGCAGCCTTAGGTCGACTTTGTGCAGCTCTAGTAACCATATTGCTGGCACAACCAAACCTAGGTAGATGAACACGGATGGACAAAACCTGGGGACAAGATAATAGTATCAGAAAACTTAAAAAATCGCATAGAGTTTACCTTACTCTTACTTATTGGTATTAAACCACATTGGATTTAAGAAACTCAGAAGGCTGGGCAACCGACTGCCATGCAACGTTAAGCGGGTTCGATTCCCGCACGGAACAACACTTTGTGTGATCCACAAATTGTTGTTTCGGGTCTGGGTGTCATTGTGTATGTAAACTTGTATGTTTGTAAACGCACGACACAGGAGAAAATCCTAATGTAGGGCAACGTTTTTTTTTTTTAAAACAAAAAACAAAAAAAAAACCTTATATTGTTAACATCGAAATCAAATTACAAAATCAGGACTAGCTGACTGTTTTTCAAACAACAAGAAAGAAAAAAACAGCTAAATAGGCAAATTGACTTTCAAATAGATTAAAATTCCCTCAACACCAAATATACGCCGTCTCAATAACTTCTGAGTTCCCGCCATCTTGACTTTTCATTTTTCGAGCCACAGATTACATTTTCCCGCTACGCGATGACGTTTGGTGTTTAGGGAACAGAGAGTATAGTTCCCTAAGATCGGAAAAGGAGGATCCTCCGACCAGGCGAGGTGATCGTGTCTGGCGGGCTTTCTGCCCAACAGTTGTACGTTGGGATTTTCTATCCGTGTTAAATCCAATGTAAACTTCGCATGTGCGATGTAGGATTTTTATGACGTCATCCGTTAGAATGTACCATGTGTCGCCACAGGTGTTTTTTTGTCTATGCTTCTAACAATAAAATCTTTGTATTTAATAGGAATAGATAGGTCGTGGTGGCCCAAAGGCTTACGACGCCCGCTGATTATGCATGAGGGTGCGGCGTCGAAACCTACCAACGGCATGTACCAATCTGACTTTTTTTCCGAGTTATATATACTTTCAAAGATTATTTAGACATCACTGACAAACGGTAAAAGAAAACATTGTGAGGAAACCTGGCGCTATGAGAAGAGGCCTTTGGTCAACATAAGTCACTTATAGGTTGTTGATGGTGATATATTTCAAATTCGAATTCGTCAATGATGATATAATTCAAATTCGTCAACAGAAGCCACTTTTAGGCTGCTGATGTGATACCTATATCACATCTAGTAAGTACCGTGTATGTCTTAGACAGCCTAAGTACGTCATCAGCACACGACAATTTACTGTTGGTCTTTATTATTATGGAATAGGAGGCAAACGAACAGATAGATCACCTGATGGTAAGCGACCCACCTCACCCAGGGTTTCTTTAAATTAAGGATAGGTTGACGATAACGGGTATGTCCAAGAGAAGTTGTGGTAACAAATATATTCTGTTATTATCACATAAAAACGTTTACAATTTGATGTTTCGTATCATTATTACCCATTCATTTGCATGCAAAGTTGTGCGGCATCGTTAGTAGATAGCTATTAGCGGCGAGGTGTGTCCGGAAACGCGACGGGAACCCGACGGGTACGTGACGGCTGACGGCTAATGTTTCAACACTAATCAATACCAATGATTGTGCTGTCAAAAATGGCTAGCTTTTAGGTTGGGATCGTGGTTTTTCTTGTGCAAAAGCTTTCAGATTAACTATATCACTTTCATATATCTGATGGTATACAGAAACTACAGAGCGCCACCTACTACGCTCCATACATATTTCTTTAGCTTACATCGCATTCATACACCTGATGGTATACAGAAACTACAGAGCGCCACCTACTATGCTCCTTACATACTTCTTTAGCTTACATCACATTCATACATCTGATGGTATACAGAAACTACAGAGCGCCACCTACTACGCTCCTTACATACTTCTTTAGCTTACATCACATTCATACATCTGATGGTATACAGAAACTGCAGAGCGCCACCTACTACGCTCCTAACATACTTCTTTAGCTTACATCACATTCATACATCTGATGGTATACAGAAACTACCGAGCGCCACCTATTACACTTGCGTACTTGCCAACTAGGTACTCAAATTCAAAAAAATTAAAAATGTAATTAGTCCGTCAGTTAGATAATGAAAAAATATTAGACACGTATTTTTTTATTTTGTTGTATAATATAATGATACTTAGATATAACGAATCAAAGTTTAGGAGTGGGGGCTAAAACGTCATTTCTACGTGTAAAATGTACATAGAAGTGACGTCACGCGACATTTCAAATCAATATATCTTCGAAACTATTCGTTTCCGTAAAAAAAAAATACGTGTCTAATGTTTTTTAATAATCTACTAGGCGGACATTAAAATACAAATTAGTCATCTACCCTATTCTCAATTCGTAAAAAGGTTTTGGCATTTCAAATTCAATACAAATTCGCCAGGTAAGTTGAGTCAGATGGATCTGAAGATAGTTATAGACACATTTACAGTTCCACAGTAGTGTATCGATTGAAGTCGACTTAAGGGCTAGTAGACAAAACTGCGATGCGACGTCGTATCGCAAAAATGTGCGAGCTCCCTCTACGCATCGCAAGAACTTGCGAATTGATTAGCATCGCGCATCAAATTCTTTTCTTCCCAAAATCTTCTTTGTTTCTTTTTCTTGTATCTCCTAAGCAATAACAGAAGTGCACACTTCTTTTTACGATCCATGTCACGACCTAGTTTTCAATTTAAAATACGTTTAGTACGGTTGACGGTCGTCGAAGGAATGGTCACCCTGGGAGACGCCTTGTCGCACGAAATCGCATCGCAGCAATTTGCATCGTAATTTTATGCGCTGCGAATTCGCTTCGCATCGCATCGCAGTTTTGTGTACGAGCCCTAATACCGCCACCCTTTTACTATCAATGGAGTTCTGGCATTTAGACGACTTTGTGAATGTTTAGTCATGTATAACGCCCTTGGAAGCGTTAAACACATTGTTTTTAACCGACTTCAAAAGAAGGAGGTTCCCTTTTGACATGTATGTACATATGTGTATTTGTGCGCGGTTATCTCGCGATTGGCTGAACCGCTTTTGATGCTGTTTTCAGAAAAGTGTTTGTTATACTTTTTTTTTAGGGTTTTTTGTTATACTTTTTTTTACCGCCTGGGTGAGGCGAAAGAGAGTGTCAGACTCTTTCTGACTAAAAACCACCCCGTTCCTTCTCCTGCACTTCGAGTCGGAGCCCCGGTAACTCGATAAGTTCTCCGCGGCTCCGTATCGGCATCAGCCCTATTGGGCCCCATTTGTCGTGGTCTGATGGCTCTTTGAAGCGCGGGCGGAACGCGTTACGCGACGCGACGTGACGTACACACGTGTTACACTTCGGAGAAGGCTTTATTTTTTTTAAAACCACATTAAAATCGCTCCAGTTTAACGTGGACCTTTTTAAACTGCAAACTTCCACTTGCCAACTAAGGGTATATTATATTTATGTGAAACCCTCTTACGTAGAAGAGGTAGATGTCAGTGGTGAATTGTCAGCGACTGTTGGTGGCTGAAGTTTGTAAGTGAAACAAGTGAATTTATTTCTGCAAATAGGCTACAAGGCAGCACTTTTACACGTCAATTTTATTAAGCGAACGATGAGGCCGACATCCTTACTTCTTAAAAAAACGTTGTCCCATATTAGGATTTCTTCCTGTGTCGTGGGTGCGTTTACAAAACATACAAGTTCACATACACATCACACCCAGACCAGAAACAGCAATATTGTGGATCACACAAAGTTTTGTTCCGTGCGGGAATCGAACCTGCGACACGTTGCATGGCAGCCAGTTGCACAGCTTTTTTTTTTTTTTTTGATGACGGGGGAAAACCTTCAAAAGGCGCCCAGCCTTTTTGGGGATAAAAGACTAGGGAGTGTGGGATTTTTACCTCACTAAAACCACCCCGGTGGCCACCCTCAACACCTGAATGGAGGCACCGGGTCCTCTAAAAGAGACCTGCTCCGGCGCCTCCACTGTGCAACGCCTGTTACGACACATCCCTAGGGAGACGGGTGTCTCCTTTAAGCCTTGCTGTGTACGGCGGCACGTGACCACTGTGCCACCGTCTTCCCTGAGACCACAGGGTGGGCACCTAGAGTCCCCACTCTACGTACCCGTGGCCCCAAAGGTCCGCCTGAAGTTTATGCAGGCGGGATTTCGGCGTGTTAGGCGTCAAGGTGGTTACCTCCTCGACGCCTTCTACGAGCAGGATCGGCCCTCTCGCGACCCCGCTCACCAGCTTCCTTTTGGGACATTACTGTCTCACAAAAGGAGGCTACTTCCCTCCAATTTTCTGTATCTGCCAGCATAGCCTTAACTACCGCTGGCAGAGACAGGTCTCGCCCGATCTTGGCAACCAGGACGCGCCGCTCAGAGGCCCATGCTGAGCATTCTTCGAGCGTGTGCTGTGCGGAATCCAGGTCATCCCCGCAGTGGTGGCAATTTGTCGTGGCCTCTCGCCCAATCCTATTTAGGTACTCACCAAAGCAACCGTGACCGGTCAGCACCTGAGTAAGCCTGAAGGAGACGCGCTCCTCTCTCTTCAGCCAGGCTTCGAAATGCGGCAGAATGGCTTCGACAACGCGCTT